CCAACGTCCGTCTGGGTCCCTCTGACCCTCTAAGGACTTCTTCATCTTGTCGGCCTGATGGCAAAACTCCGTGAACAAATCTGATAAGTCGACGCACTGACCGCCCTTGCGCCAAGAGCTCCTTATACACCTCATCAGACACCGGCCCGAGGGGGCCCCGCTTGCCAGGCTCCTTTTTTCGCCAAGGGATCCTCGCTGTAGTTGAGCTCAATAAGCCTGGCGCCTGCATTCGCCCGGTGGCCCGCGACGCCCCGCTTCCTCTTGCGGGCGCTGGGCGCGCCGCCGGACTGACCGAGGCGCGCCTTCCTGAAGGCCTTCTAAGCGGATGGCTTCCTCTCCCAGATCCTGACGAGCTGCCTGCCTTTTTCGGCGGCGCGCCAAGGAGCGCGGGGGGAAGGGGGGGGTTCGTGGAGAGCAGGGCGCTTCAGATCCCAAGGAATTCCCGGGGGGTCCCATGGTTTTTCTCGAGGTACCCAAGAAAACCAAGGAAAAGCTACATCAAAACGAGTGCAAACCCTAAACGTCTCTAAGAAAACTAAGGAAAAGACAGGGGGACAGAAGAAGAGCTGATGGGGGCCAACAAAGCTAATAACACAAACCAGAGCCAAGGAATAGCTAGGACAAACATAGGACAACCAAGGAAAAGCTGAGAGAACAAAGGACAACCAAGGACAAATCTAATAACGAAACACTAGGAACAACTACGAAGACCAAGGAAAAGCTGAGACAACCACAAACAACAAAACACATTGAAAAGCTAAGAACAACTACACAAAACTAGAGAAGACCTAAGAAAAGCTAAACAAACCATGGAAAAGCTAAGGGGCCTGGGCAAAGAAAAACAACTAGCCAAGCAAACGCTAAGACCATCTCAGAAAATCAACGGACAGCTGAGATAACTAAGGGAAAGCTGAGACAGCCAAAGCAAACTAATCATATCTTCAATCTCCTCCTCCTCCTGCTGTTCCTCCTCCTCCTCCTCCTCTTCCTCCTCCTCCTCCTCCTCCTCCTCCTCCTCCTCCTCCTCCTCCTCCTCCTCCTCCCCCTCCCCCTCCTCCTCCGCCTCCCCCTCCTCCTCCTCCTCCTCCTCCCTCCTCCTCCTCCTCCTCCTCCTCCTCCTCCTCCTCCCCTCCCCCTCCCCCTCCTCCTCCGCCTCCCCCTCCTCCTCCTCCTCCTCCTCCTCCTCCTCCTCCTTCTCCTCCTCCTCCTCCTCCTCCTCCTCCTCCTCTTCCTCCTCCTCCTCCTCCCCCTCCTCCTCCTCCTCCTCCTCGCTCCTCGCTCCTCTTCCTCCCTCCTCCTCCCCCTCCTCCTCCTCCTCCTCGCTCCTCGCCTCCTCGCCTCCTCGCTCCTCGCTCCCGGGATGCACGCTGCCGAGACCTGCAGGCGCGTGCCGCCGTCCACCGCCTCGACGGCCGGCCTCTCGCTCGCCCCGGGCGGCGGCGCGGCGCCCGGCGGGGCCTCCCGGGCGGGCGCGCCCGCGCGCTGCGGCGGGGGCGCCAGGGCCCCCGCGAAGGAGAAGGCGCCGCCAGGGGCGCCTCCGGCTGGCGGCGCGCACGAGGGGCGGCGGGTCGCGACCCTCCTCCTCCTCCTCCTCCTCCTCCTCCTCCTCCTCCTCTCTCCTCCTCCTCCTCCTCCTCGTTTTCCTCGTTCTCCTCGTTCTCCTCGTTCTCCTCGTTCCCTTCTCCTCGTTCTCCTCCTCTTCCTCGCTCCTCCTCCTCCTCCTCCTCCTCCTCCTCCTCCTCCTCCTCCTCGTTCTCCCCCACCTCCCCCTCGATCGCCTCCTCCGCCCCCTCCTCCTCCTCCTCCTCCTCCTCCTCCTCCTCCTCCTCCTTTCAAGACCCTTTCAATATAGGCTCTGCAGCGCCGCCTCGGCGCCGAAGCCTCAGGGCGCCAGCTGGTGGGCGCCGTACTCGATCTCCTTCTTCTTTGCGAAGAGCGCCCCTCCCTACGGCTCGCGGGCTGAGGGGCGCTCAACCTTCTCTGGCCCTCATCTTGTCGTTGTGGGCCTCTTCCGACGAGGCTGGTCGGTGGCCCTGCCTCGCCTGTCACGCGAGGCGGCTGCCCCTCTGGCGAGGCCTGCCATGGAGCAGGGTGATCAATCTCGTGTGCAGCTGCTGTCGGGCTCGACGTCATTGGAGGAGTCGCTGGCTGACGACCCGCCCTTCGGCCGCTCTCGGGCTGCGGGCCGCCAGACCTCGTCTTCTGTACTTCTCCTGTGCGGGCTGCCACTTAGCAGCTGTGATGTCTTCCTGGCAGCCAGCCCTACGGCCTCCTGGCTGCGACTGCCCTTTAGCGCGGTGTGCTCGTTCTCGCTGCTGGTCTCCGTGCGTGGTCCTAGCGCAAAGTGATGCGCCGTGCGATTCTTGTCCTACTGGCAGCCCGCCCTTCGGCCTCCTGGCTGCGGGCTGCCACTCGTCACGGGGTGCTCGCTGTCGTTGTTGTAGGTCTCCGTAGGTGGTCGCCGAGCAAAGCGATGCGCCATGCCATTCTTGGCCGCCATTCGGCCTTCTGGCTGCGGACTGCCCCTCATCACGGTGTGCTCGTTATCGTTGTTGTATGTATCCGTGAGTGGTCTCCGAGCCGAGCTATGCACCATGTCATACTTGTCCTGCTGGCAGCCCGCCCTTCGGCCTCCTGGCTGCTGGCTGCCGCGCAGATACGCGTGCGCATTGTCGCTGTCGTTCGCCTTCTGGGGCGCCCTTCTGACAGTATCTATGGTCTTTTAGCCCTCGGGCATTGCGCTCTTGAGCACTTGCTCTTTCCGTCCGTGCTGGACGCCGATCGGTCGCTGGACCCCCGTGCTCACGTGGCGACATATTGCCTTGTAGCCGCGATGGCACGCCATGTCTTTGCGCTCTAGCGCCTACCAGCGTACGCGGCGATGGCACACCGGGACCTTGCGCTCTGACACCTGATTCCAAACCATACTCCGTGGTGTCTGCGTTGCTTCCGTACTACAACTAGCTCCGCTGCGTGACGTCTCGTAGTCGTGCTTGTAGCTACGGCTGTAGTTGGTGGTGGTGTGGTTGCTGGCGGTGCATTCGCTGTTGTCGCCACTGGAGGTGCCTCCGTGCTGGTCGTATTTGAAATGCCTGTCGTAGCTGGGGTTCGTGGAGTTGGTTGGTGCTGCGCTGGCTAGTCTAAACAAAGCCCCATCTCGCGGTCATCATCTCGTCGAGCTGGGCGGCTGCGGTGACGTCGAAGTCATCGGCGGCGGTCTCTCTCAGCTTGATGTCGCGCATGGGACCTGCTGGGTTAGCCACCCTCTTTATGGCCCCAAGCTCGCAGCGGTTGGCCGCGCTGCTTGTCGCTGCCGCGTGCTTGATGATGTGGTGGCTCTCGGGAAGCGTCCAGGCGATGGAGCCCTCGGCGTGGACGGCGAGGAAGGGTGCCTTCGCCCTTCGCTTCAGCGGCAGCGCGCGCGGTGGTGATGACTTCTCTTGTGACGGAGTTGACTGGATCATTCAGTCAACTCTATTAGAGCTCTATGAAAACTCGTTGGCGATCTTTTCTGTGGCGTCGGGTGGTCCCCATGGCGTTTCCATAGAGCGGCGGCTGCTGGCGCGGGTGGCAATGATCTCAGCGCTATCGTGGCGAACCAAATTATTCTCGGTCTCGGCGTAGATGGCGGCGATCTCTCCTCTCATGGTCATGTCGCGGGTGATCTGTAAGCCGTGATCCGATGTCTGTGCTTGGTGGTCGTTGTTGGTGTCGATCGTGCTGTAATACAATCCACTCGCGATGGTGACCGCGCTGGTGGCCGCGATCTGTTGGAGGTCGCCTGGTTGACGAGAGCGGTCCGCGATGAATGCCATGTCCCGTCGTTCAGCTGTTGCAGGTGGCTCTGGTGCAATAGGTTGGTGCGTGGTGGATTGGATGGCGGCGTAGACTTTCGGAAGGGCAGGCGGTGTCTCCAAGGGTGGGGGCGGAGCGATTCCGATCTTGTAGGCGTGTATCTCGCTGAAGGTCGCATGTCGGCCCCTCTTTTTGTTTGCTGCCGTTGTCGTGGCTATGGCTTCGAGGTTGTCCTCTACTTGCTGCTCGGTCAGCGGCTCCATCATCATGGTGTGCCAGGCATGCCAAGACATGCGGCATCGGTGGGCTACCGCCAGGTGCTTCAAGAGCCTCGGTAGGGTATGGCACTCCGTCTGGCAGCATCTGCACGCCGTACCCGTTGCCCATCGTCGAGGGTTCTCGCAATCGTGGTGGTCTCTTCCCATGTGCACTGCCATGCCCTGCTTGGTGGCTGTGCGGCCGCAGATGTAGCAGACATTCTTGGCATTGGCGCTGGTCGATGTCGATGGTGCTCGATGGGATCGGGGGCATCTGGATGGCCTGCTGGAACTTCGCAAGCTGAGCCTGGTCTCTCGTGTAGTGCAGCTAGGCCTTTATGGCTGACTTGACCGCGTTGGTGAAGTGCTTGGGCTTCTGGCGGGCCCAGTTGATGATGTCGCTGTCTTGCTGGTTCTTGCTCGGGCATCTGTCTTGCGGGAGGTGCTTTCTGAGAACAGTAAAATTCAGGTTGCGGAGGTAACTCCAAGTACCTCTGTGTAGCCGCTGACTTTCAAGTAGCTGGAGCAGGGCCGCGGGCGCGTGGTTCAGGAAACGCGGTAAGTAGCGTAGTCGGGCTGCCGTCCGGTGTGTGTCAAAGTCGTGCATGCCCGTCTTCGCGATCGCCTCGCTGTTGGTGACGTGCTTGTCAAGCGTGTTCCTTTTGGGGAAGGAGGCCGCAACTCGGTAGGGGCCCATGTACTTGGCCGCGATGTGGTTGCGGTCCTTCTCGTGTTCAGGCAGTTCCAGATTTGGTGGTTGTAGGTCAGCGACGAGGTCGAAAGGGCATGCACGTACTTCAGCTTGGCCTTCGTCGATAGCTGCTTGCGGCGGAAGATATGCTTATTAAGTGGTCTTGCTGCTCCGAGAGTTCTGTTGGCTCTGAGGCATATCTCGGGGCCCATGGCCCCTCCCGCCGCGATGATGGTCCCGAGGGCTTCAGCTGGGTCACAATCTGGACTTCGATGGAGAGGTTCTCGAGCTCGATGAAGGTGACCATATCCCTGGCGATCTTCTGGCTCTCATTCCTGGCCCCACTACCGTAGTGCATGAGGATAGCTCTCGTCTTGTCAGCGTGGGGCTTGAGCCCATGCTGGTATGCTGCTGTGCAAAATATGATCCTGAGAGTCGTGTCGTCTGGATCAGGTCGCAGGCGGTAGCGGACGAATTGTAGTCTGTGAGGTCGTCGACGAAGGACCCGTTCCTGAGCACGGTACCTCCTGCTCCTCCTCCTCCTCCTCCTCCTCCTCCTCCTCCTCCTCCTCCTCCCCGTCCCCCTCCCCCTCCTCCTCGACGACCATCTCCGCCACCGGGGGCGCCTCCCCCCAAGGAGGCCGGGAGGCTCAGGCCCCGACGAGGAGCCGCCAGGGATGCAGTCAACCCGTAGCAGAAGGATGCGCGGTAAGGGTGAAAAGGGCCTTGGAGGCCCATTTGAGCGACGCTCAAAAACGGGTCTTACGCGAGATGGCACAGCGACCTTACGCCGCGACTTCCGCGGGCTGCCGGCGCGTCACGCTACATGAGAGACAAAGACGCTTGCGCGCGAGCTTACGCGGGCAACTTACGCGCCAATGTCGGCGACGACGACCCAGCTTTTTGCGTCGCTCCTGTGAACGTTTTTCGAACGAGGTTGGCCAGCGAAAGTCGCTCAGGATGGGCCGAAGGGGGAAGGATGCAAGGGTACCCTAGGGAAGGTTGCCCATCCTTCCTATTCGGGTTGACTGTGTCAACCTTGCACCCCTGGGCGGGTGTCCCCGATGGCGGCACCAGAAAAAGTTGGCGGCGCGCACCAGGGGGCGGAGGGAAGGGGGAGGGCTTCTTAGAAGGAGGCGCCTGCTCAGAGGGCGCTGGCCTTAGATCTGTAGACGAGGCCGGCGCCTTCTGAGGAGCAGGAGTGCTTATAAGTAGCCTCCCCCCTCCCCCCCCTCTGCGCGTGGCCGAGCCTTGAATCCCAGGCCCCCTCGAATCATGAACGACATTCCATTATTTTCTGTGGCCTCGGGGCCGTCAGACAACGACTCAGGATGGACAACAGGTCCCAAGGGAATGGGTCGAGACCTTTGGGGATCGACGTCATGAAATAACCATAGCGCCAGGGGTCTGAGGTGCAGGGTATAAACACACTGACCATGACCTATGTGTCGCGGAATCTTGTCAGTACCGGTCTTGGTCATGGTCCATGCTGGCCGTCGATGATTCGCGGGGATCATCCACGAACGGACGCTGACCAAGATAGACGGCGACCAAGATCGACAGCACATTTCTGGCGTTCAGTCTTGGTCATGGTCCCCCTTCTCTCCCTCTCCATTCGGAGGAACAAAACGCTGTGGTCCACGCGGTGTTCTCAGATCGGCGCTGGAACCTCCCTCTCTGGCGCGCGGCGCGCTCCGCTCGCCAGGGAGGGGGGGGGCTCCAGTACCGATCCGAGAACTCCGCGCGGACCTCCGAATACCTATGCTTATGCAGCTTTTTGTTTTTCGAGCCTTGCTGGCAGCTTTTTGTTATTCGAGCCTTGCTGGAGTCTGGCGGGGCCGGCAGCGAAGGCGAGGTGCTCGTGGGCGCTGGAGCCGCGCCGTTCGACCGGCGTGTTCATCGGGGACTCGACCGCGCTGTCTGGCTGAGGCTCCGGCTCGCCCTGCACCGTGTCCCTGCCAAGGCGGGCGGAGGTGACGGTGTCCTTCCACGGCAGCAGGACCAGCTCGCCTTTGATCGTCATGGGAAGGAACTTGTCGTCGACACGGAGCCACCCGTCGGCCTCCTCCGTGCCTCGGACGACCGTGCCCCAGGGCAGGGCCGAACCACAGGTGTCCTCCAGCCTCTTGCTCGACCGCAGCTTCAGGCCGCGCGCCCTCGCGAGGAGCGCGCTGTTGTCCAAGACGTAGTCCCGAACCTCGGCGGGCGGGGCCCAGGCCGCCGCCAGCCCCGCGTCGGCCCCCTCGGACGTGTCCGTCGTCTCGCCCCCGTCGCTGGGCTCTGGCTGCGGCACCTCTCCGCCCTCGCCCCGGCCCTGGCCCGCGACCTCTGAGGCCGCCGGCGGGCCGCCGCCGGCGCCCGCGGCACTCTCCGCCGACTGCGAGGGCGGAGCCGAAGACGGCCGCTGCTGCGCCCCGGGGGCCTCCGGCTCGGGCGCGCCGCCGCTGGGCCACGCGGCGCCGCCCGCGGGCGCCGAGGCGAACGCCGAGAAGGTCCCGGGAGGCGTGGCGCAGCGCACGCCCTCCAGGACCAGGGGTATCTTGACGCGCAGCGGGGGCAGGCCCTCCCACGCCGCGGCCCCGCACGCCGGCCCACTGGCGGCGCGCGCCCACGGCAGGCGCACGGTGGCGTCGCTGGGGGCCGCCGAGGTCTGCTCGGCGGGCGGCGCCGCGCAGTCCACAGCGCCCTCGGAGGAGTCGCGCCGGACCACGGGCGGGCTCGCCGCGGCGAACGGGGCGGCCCCCTGCGCGGGGAGGG